TAAAAAAAAAAAAAAAAAGGGTGGTCATTTGAGCTCCCTAGCAAAAGGGTGGGGGAACACAGAGCTTCGATCCTCTCCTGTGCTTGAAGAATGTAGAGCAAAACTTGACAGTGACATGCAAAGATGATTTCTGTAACGCCATCAAGAAACAATACAAATAAGCTCTTTTGGTGTAGGGTCACCAGAATCTGGAATTTAGATGTATTTTGGTAACTGTAAGGCAGTACCTTGGGGTCTGAATCACTTCTCTTCTCTTCTGCTCGAAAACTATATGATGTTACATTGACTTAAATTTGTTTTTTGTAAATTTATATTAATATTAAGTGTTCTTAATTTTTAAGTAAAAAGTTAAACAGTACTGGCAAAAGGCCAGATAATTAACTTGTCTTTTTAAAAAAATAATTTTTAACTCTTTATTTATTTTTATTTTGCAGCTAACAGAAAATCTTCAATTGGTGTAAAAAAGAACAGCAAGAGTAGAGCATTAACAAGACAGTCTATGTCAAGAATTCCAGCTTCATCAAATTCTACCTCATCTAAACTAACTCATATAAATAATTCCAGGGTACCAAAGAGACTGAAAAAGCCTGCAAAGCCTTTACTTTCAAAGATAAAGTTGAGAAATCAGTGCAAAAGGCTAGAGCAAAAGAATGCCTCTAGAAAGCTTGAAATGGGAAATTTAGTTCTCAAAGAACCTAAAGTAGTGCTATATAAAAATTTACCTATTAAAAAGGATAAAGAAATAGAGGGACCAGCTAAAGTTGCAGTCTCTAGTGGATGCTTAACAAGACATGCAGCAAGAGAATATAAACTGAATTCTGTGAAAGGTGCTCATGAGCATGGTGAAATATCACCCTGCACATACATAACCAGGAGGTCAATGAGAACAAGGATGAATTTGAAGGAGACCTCTGACATAAAGCTTGAACCAAATATGTTGGATACCTATAGAAACAACTTGACGGGGACTCGATCTGATATCTTACCGCAGCAGTCTCATGTGATACATGAAAATGAACTGATTCATGGAACATCACATAAAGGGGAGGTCAGATACCAGAAGAATGATGTGGGCATGTCCAGAAAGAAATCACGACAAGGAAAACTTGTGAAATCATCTGCAAATATAGAAGAAGCTGATCCTACACATAATCCACCTGGCAAAGATGAAGTACCAAATTTGATTAGTTCTCATTCAGAACATGGAGAAAGGAGTAATATAGTGGATATGGCCCTCGGATATAAGGACGGTATTCCTATGTCTGGTGGCTGCTCCATTGTTACATCTGACAATTTCAAAGCAAAGGACAGCTTTAGAACTGCTAAAAGTAAAAAGAAAAGACGAATCACAAGGTATGATGCGCAATTAATCCTTGAAAATAGTTCTGGGATTCCCAAACTAACCCTGCGTAGGCGTCACGATAGCAGCAGCAAGGCAAACGACCAAGAAAATGATGGAATAAATTCTTCAAAAATAAGCATCAAATTAAGTAAAGACCATGAAAAAGACAATAACTTGTATGTAGCAAAGCTAAATAATGGATTTAACTCAGGATCAGGCAACAGTTCAACAAAATTAAAGATACAACTAAAACGAGACGAAGAAAACAGGGGGACGTACTCTGAGGACCTTCATGAAAATGGCATGTGTTGTAGTGATACGCTCTCTCTCTTGGAGTCAAGAATGGAAGTGGATGATTACAGTCAGTATGAGGAGGAAACTGCAGATGAATCTTCATCAGAAGAGGAAGAGGAGGAGGAGGAGGACTATGATGATGAATTTGAAGATGATTTTATTCCTCTTCCTCCAGCTAAGCGATTAAGGCTTATAGTTGGCAAGGATTCAATAGACATTGATATTTCTTCTAGAAGAAGAGAAGATCAGTCTTTGAGGCTCAATGCATAAGCTTATAGGTCTTAAACTGACCAGGATGTCCATTTTTAAACAAAACAAAAAAAATTCCATTCAATTATTCCTCAACTGAAGAACTTTCTGAAAATTTTAGTAACAGCACTTCTTTATTGTTTATTCACTTATCAACATAATATTGTAGAAAGTGTACAGCATACTGACTCTTCTTAAGTCTGATTTGTGCAGATTTTTATTGTACTTTTTAATAGCCTCTTTATGTGCAATTCTGAGTTAGAGTAAGAGGTAATGCTCTGTTGTAAAATAAAGGCTCAAGCAAAATTATAAAATGACATCAAAACTTTCCATGCAGGACAATGAGAACACAATAATGTGGCTACACAATTATTTTTAACCTATAAGAGCATTAGTTTGCTCTTACAATATCTGACTAAACAATAATTTAAAAAAATCATAGTAGCAGCATATTAAAGTTTTCTAGTATATGTTAATATCACCAGCAATGATCTACGGCTTTTCAATTTATTTGCTAGATGTTTTCCCCCCTTGAAGTTTGTCAGTTTTAACACTGTATGCTGTCCCAGACGTACTGTTTGTGGCCTTTGTTATAGTAGCAAACCGTTGGTTGGAAGTCAAATTGATTTCTTTAAAAAAAGAAAAAAAAAGAAATAAAAAGGTGTTGACAGTTTGCTGACTTTTTAGTACATTATATGTACAAGGGTAGCAGTATGCAGAATAAAAGTTTGGATATGGTGTATTTATTGCTTGTTATGTAAATTAAACACCTTGTATTTAACTCTTTTTTCAATACTTTTAGATAAAAATTGTTCTTTGCAAGAATGATTGGTGCTTATTTTTTCAAGAATTTGCTGTGAAACAATGTGATTACAACAGGCAACATTTATCCAATGAACTGCAGCTATCCTAAATTGGTTCTTCATAGTTTTCTGTTGCACTTGTAAAATGCTACAAGGAATTTAAAGAAATCTATTCACTTTAACTTATGATAGTTTTATGAAATTAAAAAAAACCTAAGTCACAGCTTTTGTTCTGTGGTAACCTATACAAATGTTTGTCTTTTTGAAATCCAGTGTAAAGGACTGAAAAAATATGTATATGTTGTAAATACTTGTGTGTTGTGAGAAATTTTGTCATAAGAAATTGAGATAACTTACCAGAAGGGTTTTTAAGTTTAGAATTACATTCATGCCAATAAAATAGGAAATTATAAACCTAGTTTTAAACTCTGCATCAGTGGGAATTCTTTGCTTTTATTTAGTTTATATTTTAAGATTTCACTCTGGATATGTTATAACAGTACTGATCTTTTTTTTTTTAAAGAGTTTCAGGGTTTTGTTTTTTATATAAGGCCATTAGGAACAGGAACAGCCCTTGGGGGTGAAGGGGAGGAGGAAATGGAAATGATCTATAAATTTTAACAGATGAACTATTTATTTTAGCACATAGATCTTTTGAAATGTCTTCAATTTGAGTTAAGTGGCAGTTTTTTGTATGTTCTGTGTCATACAAGTTGTTTTACTAAACAGTGGATGAAGATTCTGACAAATGTGGTTTGTTAGGGTGCTTTAGTTTCTAGAGACATGGGGAAATCAGAATAGATTATAAGAACATGTTTAGTGGATCAACTTAATCCATACAACCGAAACATTGAAGATGCGTGAAATGTTCCCGTTAAACACACATTCCAGTGTCTGCACAGAAAAGCCAGCTGGAGTGACAAAGTGGCTGCAGAGCACAATTTTAGGGGCGTTAGCAGAGGTGGGTGGGTAAATTTGCACAGTAGATGATCATCTTGTAGCTGGTTTTTGCTAGCTTCCAGTCGTCAGGAAAACAAAGTCTTTTCAAATTAACTCTTCAAAATAGTTTGGAGTCATAATTTATTTTCAGTAGATTGCAAATGAAACAGTAGAATATCAGTTTCTTCTTTTGTTTCCCATCATCTATTCTCAGAGTTAGACATTGGCCCATATTAATGTTTAGCCCTTCAGGAGTATTTGCTGCATACTCCTTGCCATGTTTGAGAATTTAAACTCTCCAAGAGCTACATGATCAGGCAGTGTGTTAAGTGGAACAGATAATAGAATCACAGAAGTGGATATGCCTTATGTAATGCCCAGCCTCCAGTAGCTAAGGCATTGGATTCCTGGTTCTTGAGATTACGTAGTAAACTCTGGTAAGTACTGTACTATTTTGCATTCAATTTTTAACATTGTATGAGAATAAGATTATTGTCATTATGGTAAGGCTATTGTAAAAATGGGATTACTAAGCGTTTGTCTACACTAGAAAGTTTTACTGGCAAAAGTTTTGTTGGCATACAGCTACCAGTATAGCTATTTTGGCACAGTGTGTTGAATCTTGGCTGCCTTTGTTGGTGCATTGTGTCCTCATACGGTCTCAGGTTGTATAGGCAAAAGACATGCAGCACTGTGGGTAGTGTTGCCAGTGTCCCCTGCACTGCCATCCAGCACATTATCTTGTGGAAAAATGTGGAAGGATACTGTGGGACATCAGCACTCTTCTCAGGAATTGTGGAGTTTGGGATCAAATTTCCACACTTCCTTCTGTCCCATGCTATGATCTACCTCTTTTGGTGCTCCCCCATCCTCTTTTAATTCCGATAGTATCCTCTGGTCCATCCCATAATTTACTTTTTTGTGCTGGTTTTCAATCTCTCTGCTAATTCAGCATCAGAAGTATGGATGCGGAACAGATCGGCAGAGTTCTGTTGCCTGTTTCAGAGACAGGGTAATTGATTGTTTCCTTTTTATGGAACCATAGCAATGCCACAGCAGCCAACCATGCATTAGGGAAACTGAATAGTGAGGAGTACGTAGACATAACGAATGAATGAATGACAGTGGAGATAACAGCTGCAAATCAAACAAATATTGTTGGCTGATGGGCAGTTTGGTGTGGGGGGAAATCTGTATTGAGGTGGCTATTCTCCAGGTGTGCCAGGGCATTCAGCATGTCCTGCTGCACAGGATTGTGACTCTGGCAACTTGAGGGAAATAGATGTATTCAATTAAATGGATGATCCTTCCCCTCCCCACCTTGCCTCCAATACGTAAAGAGAAAAGGGATATTTTCCCATAGTTATGCAAGCATTGGAGGATCACCCTGGATACCTTACTGACATTAACATTGGATGGTCAAGAAAGGTGTATGATGCTCACATCTTTAGGAATACAGACTTTTGGAAAAGCTGCAAGCAGGGACACATTTCCCAGAACAGCATATTCAGTTTGGTGGGGTTGATATTATCAGGGACCCAACCTACCCCTCCATGGCTCATGAAGCCATACATCAGGAACCTGGACTGCAACAATGAAAGATTTAACTATCTCCTGAGAAGGTGCAGGAAGACCATGGAGTATGCCAGTGGCATACCAAAGGGCTGGTGGATACCAATCTCAGCAAGCCAAATATTCTTACTGTCATTGCTGCATGTTGCGTTTCGCATAACATTTGCAAGGCCAGAAGAGAAATGTCTCCACTAGGATGGAGGTGGACAGGCTGTTTTCTGATTTCATGCAGTATGACACAAAGCCAGTTACTAGAGCCCACCACGGTGCTGTGCAGTTGAGCAAAGCCTAAAAAGCACATTCTGAGAGTTTGCTATAGCCAGACAGTGTTACTTTATTGCACATGCAGTAGTTAGCTGGTTTATGAATTGTTCATGGATGAAGGGGGCTGCTGATTTGGGGGGCTAAATCTCTGTATTGTAAGACAAAGGAAATCATGGTTTTCACAAAATTGAACTTTATTATACAATAATAACTTCTCAGTAATAACTAGTGATCTCTCTGGGCTGCATCACAGGTCAGTGTAGGTGTATTCAGAACAGTTTTTTCCTTTTTGCTCACTGGAGTATAGTGGAAGGGATGCTGCTGCTGAGAATGCTGGTGCCCTAAAGAAGCTGATGGGGGAGCGGGGGGGTGTGTGTGTGTGCATGGCCCTGGAAGAAGCTACTCCTACTCCCTGGAAGAAGGAATTGTTGTCCATGCTGTGGAGTGGCTGCTGGCATGTAGTCCTTCTGATGTTCCGCTCCATAATGTTTTGGAGCATCTTTCTTGTGGGAGGAGGTGCATGATGTCTTGGTATACCTCTTGGTCCTTCTGTGTTTCCTCCAGCCTATGGTCGCTCCATTCTCAAGTGTCTCAGACTCCAGAATTGGAAGTCTTGAGCAGTTCTGCAAACATGTCTTCTGCTGTCCACTTTTTTTCTTCCTTACCATGGTGAGTCTTGCAGGTGTAGAAGGGATGGCGCTCATGGATACCCCAGCTGAAGTCGCTGATAAATAATGGTAAACTCATAAACATTGTTTTATATTTAAGGGATTAGCAGACATCAAAAGATAAATACAACTCTATGAAACTTTGCCCTTTATAGATTCCCCATAGCAATTGTGAGTCTGTCCATATTTTTTCTCACTTCATACCATATATGGGATGGTTTGGGAAGCCTGGGTAACTAGGGATCATGCAGTAGACTGCTAAATTTATTACAGACAGTGATGAATCTTGGCAGATAAATTGCTCATGAAGGCACTGAAGGCTTAGAGAAGGCAGCTGTTGAAAGGACTCATTGTCACCCAGGGCCATATGCTGTCAGCCACTTCAAAGCAGTGCTCCCCCAAAGCTCTTTGCAGAGTGGAATGGGAAAGTGTCCTGACATGGAGAGAGAAACATGGCTGATCTGCTTAGAAAGATCCAGGCAAAGATCAAACACTGTTTCCTTGAAGAGTGCAGAGAAATGATCCCAGAAAGCTGTTCAGGCCAAGATAGACCAGCCCCTCCATAAGCAGTGGAAGGTTGTGATTGCCAGATAGTGTCATGAGCCTATCCAAGCCAAGCTCCCACTTAGTTAACGGTTTCTCTCTTCTGAATCTAACTGCAGCATGCAAGTAATGTGTTTTGGACTTGAAAACCAAAGTACTGTGTGTGTAGCTTGAAAACATGAAGCCAACATGTTTGCAATGCATTTTCTACAAAATTATGTAGTCTGAATGCCCAATCACTGGTTTGCTTGCATGTACTCTTTTCTGTTTTCAATGTCACTTTGTTAGGGAGACAGTGCCCACCTGCTATGTACTTTGAATGCTCAGAGAGACAAGGTGGGTGAGGTAATACCTTTGGACTGACTTCTGTTGGTGAGAGAAACAAGCTTTCAAGCTATGCAGAGCTTTGGTCTCAGTACCTTTCCCAGACTTGAAGAATGTTCCAGGTGAGCCTAGAGTAGGCCTGACTGTATAAAAAGCCAGTCAGCTGCGAACCAGCTGAGCAGCGAACAGCGGAGCGGCTAACAGAGGGAGTTTGCCTGGGAGTTCGCCTGGGGAGAGCCACTCAGGCTTACATCTTGCCGGCTTCTCTGAGTAGTTACTACAACTCCTGAGGAAGCTCGTAGAAGGAAGGTAATATGGATGGGGGGGTGTTCATCTGTTGTGACCTGCACTGGATGTGCCATGTTTGTCTTTCTTCCACAGCACAGAAGCGACTTTGTCTGTACAAAGTGCAAGCTGGTCTCCATATTGGAAGAGAAGGTTCAAGGTCTGGAGCAACAGGTATCGACCCTGCGTTGCATAAGAGGAAACTGAAGATTTCCTGGACAAACGTCAGGATATGCTTCTACGGACACAACGTTCTAAAGATTCAGAGCAGGCTGCGCAGCGGGGACAGGAGGATGCTGAAGAAATTTGGCATCATGTGACCTCCAGAAGAAGAAAGGGGAGTGTCCATATACCAGCAACGCAGATACAGGTAAGTAACCGTTTTCATGTTCTCTCCACAGGTACTAATGCGGAGAGTGGACTAGATGATACATCTGAGGGAAAGGAACAGAAGGAGACTCCGCCGATTAGAAGGCATGAGATGCACTGTCCTAGGGTTGGGGGTTCCACGACCACCCACCAAGAGAAGGAGGGGGGTGGTGGTCAGGGACTCTCGCCTCAGGGGGACTGAGTCATCTATCTGCCACCCCGACCGGGAAAACCGAGAAGTCTGCTGCTCGCCAGGAGCTAGGATTCACGATGTGACAGAGAGACTGCCGAGACTCATCAAGCCCTCTGATCGCTACCCCTTCCTGCTTCTCCACGTGGGCACCCACGTATTCTTGACAGCAAGTTAAAGTAGTATGGGCTGGATGAATGGACTATAAGGTGGATAGAAAGTTGGCTAGATTGTCGGGCTCAACGGGTAGTGATCAATGGCTCCATGTCTAGTTGGCAGCCGGTATCAAGTGGAGTGCCCGAAGGGTCGGTCCTCAGGCCGGTTTTGTTCAATGTCTTCATAAATGATCTGAAGGATGGTGTGGATTGCACCCTCAGCAAGTTTGCAGATGACACTAAACTGGGAGGAAAGGTAGATACGCTGGAGGGTAGGGATAGGATAGAGAGGGCCCTAGTCAAATTTGAGGATTGGGCCAAAAGAAATCTGAAGAGGTTCAACAAGGACAAGTGCAGAGTTCTGCACTTAGGACGGAAGAATCCCATGCACCGCTACAGACTAGGGACCGAATGGCTAGGCAGCAGTTCTGCAGAAAAGGACCTAGGGGTTACAGTGGATGAGAAGCTGGATATGAGTCAACAGTGTGCCCTTGTCGCCAAGAAGGCCAGTGACCTTTTGGGATGTATACGTAGGGGCATTGCCAGCAGATCGAGGGACGTGATCGTTCCCCTCTATTCGACATTGGTGAGGCCTCATCTGGAGTACTGTGTCTAGTTTTGGGCCCCACACTACAAGAAGGATGTGGAAAAATTGGAAAGAGTGCAGCGGAGGGCAACAAAAATGATTAGGGGACTCGAACACATGACTTATGAGGAGAGGCTGAGGGAGCTGGTATTGTTTAGTCTGCGGAAGAGAAGAATGAGAGGGGATTTGATAGCTGCTTTCAACTACCTGAAAGGGGGTTCCAAAGAGGATGGATCTAGACTGTTCTCAGTGGTAGCTGATGACAGAACGAGGAGTAATGGTCTCAAGTTGCAGTGGGGGAGGTTTAGGTTGGATATTAGGAAAAACTTTTTCACTAGGAGGGTTGTGAAACACTGGAATGCATTACCTAGGGAGGTGGTGGAATCTCCTTCCTTGGATATTTTAAGGTACGGCTTGACAAAGCCCTGGCTGGGATGATTTAGTTGGGGGATTGGTCCTGCTTTGAGCAGGGGGTTGGACTAGATGACCTCCTGAGGTCCCTTCCAATCCTGATATTCTATGATTGTATGAGCTCTGTGTAGCTCAAAAGCTTGTTTCTCTCACCAACAGAAGTCAGTCCAAAGATATGACCTCACCCACCTTGTCTCTCTAATATCCTGGGATCGACATGGCTACAGAAACACTGCATACACTGTTTGGTTTGTGTGTCGCTTACAATCACTGGAAGCATTTTTTTCCCCCTGTTTATAATGCATTGGACTTTATTTGGTTACATTGCCTACAAAAGTATGTACTTTGGAGGCATCCCGACTAGTTACAAAAATAAGTATTTAGAAATGCTTTTTGGCTTTTGTATCCGTTTAGCCTACTAGTGCCAGTGGAGGCTCTATAAATAAACTGGCTACTTTAATTGTTTGCAGTGATGGTGTAAGTGTGTTGGTCCCAGGATATGAGAAACACAAGCTGGCTGAAGTAATATATTTTATTGGACCAACTTCTGTTGGTGAGAGAGACCAGCATTCCAGCTCTACAGAGCTCTTCTTCAGGTCTGGTAATCAGTGTGTCCTAGCTAAATGCAAGGTTGAACAGATTAAGTATGAGGAGTTAACATGTAAGAAACTATTCAAAATGAAGTGGGCAAAGGTCAGAGGAGAGTTGGGGGGGTTACAGATTGTAATGAGACATAAAACCAGTGCCTCTGGTGAGGCCATGATTTTTGGTGTCTTGCAGAGTTACAAATACACATTCCTAGGCTTGTCTTTTTATGGTGTTGTGCAGGTTTCATTTGAGAGTGAGGAGTGATCATTTTATGGTAAGTGTTGGCGTACAGGTGATGGGGTGAAGAGGCTAAAGTGACATTTTTCAGCTTTGGCAGCAAGGAGATTTTATGACTGAGTTTAGTTAGCAGATACATATTTGCATATCCCTAACTGACCTTTCCACAGAAAACTTCTAGCTTTGTTAGATGGAAACTGTACTAGTACTGGACCCTGACCTTCAGCTTATTCTCCATCTTCAGGCTTTTTACAAAAGTATTTTTGAAGTAACAGAAGCAACCCTGAAGGGGAAAGACAACTATAGCTTTTTTCTCCTTGGATGACAACCTGCTAAAGGCCAGTTGGAGTATTTCCAGCAATGGTAAGGTAGCTGAAATTAGATGGATTAGTAATAAATTGAATGTTGGCTCATTGCAGCCCAGGCTAGCTCTCACCTACTGGAGACCATAGCGAGCACAATGAGGAAAGCTATAGTCTTTGAGGTGTGACTTAAGGTATAGACCAGGGGTCTCAAACTCCCGGCCCGTGGGCCATCTGCGACCCAATAAGCTTCCCACTGCGGCCCGCGGAGGAGAGATGGGAGGAGAGTCACAGGCAGACACTGCTGGCAATGTCTGCTGTAGGCTCTGCCCCTGTAGCTCCCATTGGCTGGGGGAGAGGGACAGAGGTATCATCATTAGTTGCCGGGCAGAGTCAGCCAGGGAGGCAGCATCACTTTTTTCCACAATGAATATAAACAAGTCAAAATACCGAACACAACTATCCGACGCCCACCTTGCTGCAATCCTGAAGGTTTCAACTGCTCAGTCATGGAGGCCAGACAGCAACAAACTGACAGAACTGAAGCGTTGCCAGCTGTCTGGCAAACACTAAAAACTCTAGCAGGCGAAGAATTGTATTAAGTTGTATGACAGCTTTATTATTTCTAAGAAATTCAAAATAAAAAATACAATATAAACGTTTTCTTTTCTGAACACCATCTTCAGTGACATTATTGACCCACTGGGAGGATTTGAGGACTGGCACTGGCCCGAAGGCAAATTGAGTTTGAGACCCCTGGTACATACAGACCGGTGACCCCTCAAGTTGTTCAGTTTATGCTGGCCTGTGTATACTTCTGCACCGTTTGGGAAAGGAATTGCAATCTCGTTTAGCTTACTGTTTTACCACACCATTATCACACTCCTGCTTCTGCCTCCCTTAAGGTTAGAAGTCAGTTTCCTTCTACCATGTGCCAAACAGTGATTTCCCTGCCTCCCCACTCCCAATTTAATATTCACGTATGGCCAGTTCCATTTACCTTAAATAAAGCAGTTGAATTGGCATAAGTGGTTTATTGAGTAACCAGTTTCTAAACCATTTTAGTCTCTATAGGTTAAAACCAGTACCTTTAATTCCATCTGGTGCTAACAGCTAGTTAGTGCAGATCATGGAGAACAACAAGCAAACAACAAACATGCTCTGTTTGAGCCAATTAGTGACAGTGGGGAGAAAAAAATCACTCTAGGTAAATTTTAAGTCTTTTGTTCTCTCCAATAATGCTGACTTTTTCCTTCCTTTATTCAACCAAACTTAGCTATGTGTACCCATTAAAAAGAGTATAATTTTGCTAATGTTGGGAATTAAATTACTATTGGTATCAGTTACATATATATCTGAAGAATATTTTCATTGTGCACGACTTCCTCTGACAGATCTCAATGCAAAAATAGACTCTATGGGAATGTTATGTTCCTGTGGAACTTACAACCTCCACAGGCGGGAGCATCTCTCTGCAGTGCTTATCAACATTGCAGAAACAAATGATGCATATCCAAATGAAGCCAGTAAACCCAGCAGAGCTTGAAAACTGTGCAAGCCCAATAGCTTTTGGTTCAAGGAGTGAACAAGCTCCAGTCTTGTAAGTTTGTCAGGCCAAATAGTTCTGGATTTTTCCTTATGGGAGCCAAACCTTTAAAATACAAACGTTACTTTACTGTAACTATGTTTTAAATTTAAATGCTTGAGATTTAATAGTGATAATTAATAAAAAATGTACAATAGTCAATAGACATGACTACACTCATGGAGCAGATAATGCTAGTCACTCCTGTGTAATGGTTAACCACTTGGCCTATTTCTTCTGCTCTTACACAGTTACAAGCTATGGTGTCTTATCCTCTCTTTTGAGAACTCTCCTGGGATTCATTTGTCTTTGTAAATATCCAGTCTGCATCTAGTCCGGACAGTAAACATAGGCTGTCTCCACAAATGTCCATTGTTCTCATGTTGGTTGGTCAGCTCTCAGACTCCCTCTTGTCAGGTGATAAGTTTCACTCCAACAGATTTGGAACATAATATCCTACATCCGATAAAGTGAGCTGTAGCTCACGAAAGCTTATGCTCAAATAAATGTTAGTCTCTAAGGTGCCACAAGTCCTCCTTTTCTTTTTGCTGATACAGACTAACACGGCTGCTACTCTGAAACCTGTCAATATCCTACATGTTGCATAACTCCAAATCAGCGGCTACTTAGCTATCGGCAGAGCGTACATGACGTCCTTCAGTAAAACATTGGAAAAGATGGTTGAACGTGGGATAATTACCTGTGTCTGGGCATGTCTGTGTTAGTCAGGACTTTCTTAGAACCTGGAACTGAAAACCCCGAAGATGTATTTTCCCACAGCATGGACTGACCAAAGCAATTTCCTGAGAAGTGCAAATGTGATTCACTTGCTCAACATCTTGATAACTGCAGTGGCTACAAATGACAAAAATAAAGAACACCCATTCATTCTGAACTTAAAACAATGAAAAAGTAATAATTGTTAGCAAATGAAATAGAACAATTAAAGACACAAGAACTGGGATATCAAAAAACACTATGCCATTCTAGTTTGGAATGAGGGACTTCTATGTAATATATCAGTCATTTCATTTTATAGGAAAAAAGTAAATGTTTGAAAAATTATTTCTTCTGAGGAAGGATAGTGAAATAAGATTTTGTTTTAAAGCCTCTTTAAATATTTTATATTCCGATAATGAAGCCATTGTATACCTTAGGAACAGTGGTTACTGAGGTGCACCTGCATTTGCAGGGCCTGTGGTGGAAGGAGAGATGTTGTATAGGTGTGCTGGTGCTGCTTAGGGGTTGAGTGAGTTTGCAACAACTCCCAGCTACCCCAGGGGAAACTTTGGTGGGTTTATTATTACAGAGGATAAAATAAAAATGGATTCCACTGCCCCCGAGACTGCCCCCAAGACACCCCTCAACGTTGTGGTAAAAATATTTCAGGGCAAAGGGTTGCCTCCCTGAACACTCTAGAATGGTACAGTATCAACAGATTGTGATGGTGGCAGGAGTTTATTTCAAAGAATACTGATAAGATCCTGGTGCTCTGGGCTTTCCTACCTCCAGAGCTTACTGCACAGGCTTCTCGTTTTCCCTGATCCCTGGCTATAGGAAAAGAGGGCGGGGGGACCGCAGGGCCCTGGTGCTTTGGTCTAAATTTTCTTTCTTGTTTTAGCCCGAGAGCAGTAAAATAAGCTTTCTGTCTACTGGGAGGCAGAGCCAGGTTGACCGTACCTGCAGCTAGTCCTGACTGGCCTTGTCATCCCCTACGACTGAGAATCACCCTCTCCATCAAGCTTGGAAACAGCAGACAAAAGTGTTGCTGGCACCCAGTGCCGAGAGGCAAAACAACAGCAGGGGTTCGCTACCCGGTGTGCGTCGCCCAATAATCACAACGGGGTGGAGAAACAGAAAAGTTTATTTGCAGCTGCAAACAAGGTACAGGGAGAATAGAATCTCAAATCCTGCACACAGAGCAGGAAGTTACATAGGCTTTTATAAATCCTTTCTTCAGCATACTTATCCAATAGCAAGCTGCCCTAAGTATCCATATAGCCAGCCAATCCAGTTACCAGCTAGTTCCCTTGTTTTTTGTATCATTTATTAAACTATACATAAAGCTGATTTATTCAGCATTGTTTTTCCATATCTGCCCTGTTTGGCCTTGTTTAGCTTCAGGCAGTCTGACTCTGCAACATATTGTTGCAGATCCTCAGCATAACTGCTGCGAGTGCCTCCAGGCGGGGGGGCCAAGGACACTTGGGCCTAGTGCGAGGGCGCTTCATCGTCACTCGTGGTCTTCCATCCCCTTGAGTTACCTAGTGGCCATGCCCCAGTGTCCCCAACAACTCCCTCCTTTGAGAACACTCAACAGCCTTGGCTCTGAGTTTTCTCCCTTGGGCTACTTATTTCTTTACAATAGGACTTTGTATAAGCACTTTGTGATAGCCCTGAAGAGAATGACTTTTTAACTTTTGCAAAAGGGCTCTGACACATGATACTGCACAGCATAATACCATTAATACAAGCAATACAGGAAAGAGAAGTTTCAATAACAGGCTAAATAAACCACCAAGCCATCACCTTCAGCCCCCAACTAAAACCCCTCCAATGCATTATTAAGGATCTACAACCTATCCTGAAGGATGACCCAACACTCTCACAAATCTTGGGAGACAGGCCAGTCCTTGCCTACAGACAGCCCCCCAACCTGAAGCAAATAACTCACCATCAACCACATACCACACAACAGAACCACTAACCCAGGAACCTATCCTTGCAACAAAGCCCGTTGCCAACTGTGCCCACGTATCTATTCAGGGGACACCATCACAGGGCCTAATAACATCAGCCACACTATCAGATGCTCGTTCACCTGCACATCCACCAATGTGATATATGCCATCATGTGCCAGCAATGCCCCTCTGCCATGTACATTGGTCAAACTGGACAGTCTTTACGTAAAAGAATAAATGGACACAAATCAGATGTCAAGAATTATAACATTCATAAACCAGTCCGAGAACACTTCAATCTCTCTGGTCACGCGATTACAGACATGAAAGTTGCGATATTACAACAGAAAAACTTCAAAACTAGACTCCAGCGAGAAACTGTTGAATTGGAATTCATTTGCAAATTGGATACTATTAACTTAGGTTACCTTGTATAATGACTTAGCCACTCCAAGTCTCTATTCAAGCCTATTTCCCCTTGTTTTTTCCTACCCCCCTCCCCCAACGTTCTTGTTAAACCCTGGATTTGTGCTGGAGATGGCCCACCTTGATTATCATACACATTGTAAGGAGAGTGATCACTTTAGATAAGCTATTACCAGCAGGAGAGTGGGGTGGGGGGAGAGAAAACCTTTTGTAGTGGTAAACACCCATTTTTTCATGGTTTGTGTGTATACAAAGATCTTCTGTACTTTCCACAGTATGCATCCGATGAAGTGAGCTGTAGCTCACAAAAGCTTATGCTCAAATAAATTGGTTAGTCTCTAAGGTGCCACAAGTCCTCCTTTTCTTTTTGCGAATACAGACTAACATGGCTGTTACTCTGAAACCTTTTAAATCCTGCATTACTTCATAGGGCTTTGCCCAATTATTATGTCAGACAGCCAAGTGACGGAGTCGATGCAAAAGCAACTCCTTATAGGAGGTAAGGCAGGTCATATCCCCATGATCATTTGGATCCCACCTGGGGTCTGCTCGGGGGATTTGTGCGTCTGGGTCAGGGACATTAATACGATCCCGGTCGTACTGTTTCTGCACCTCCAACGATGGTGATCGGAATCCTGGGATCTGTCCCTAGCACTGTGCGGGGAGCGTGTTTAGTGGGTAGAGGTAGGATAACCAACGCACCTCTATCGGAGTGGCAATGTGACGGAGGGGATAAGACTTGGGTCTACCATAATATGGACTTGGATCCCTACCATTCTGGATCTCTCGCAGCCTATCTAAGGTAAAAACAGCCAAAACTGAAGTCAGTGATAAATCCCAGAGATGTATTAATGAGAGCAAGCCAAGGCCCACAAAAGTCCACAATAACCGGACTTATTAGACTCTATTCTCTTCAAAAATAGCCAGTTAAACCTACGTGGAGACTCATGCACTATCTCAAAAAACTGTCGGACAAGCTGTGTTTAGACTAGAGGAACCTAAGGGAGCATTAGACCAATGTCAACAGCAAGCAAAGCAACTTTAGTGACCTGTAATTCAAAAATGGGAGGTGTGAATGCTTAAAATGCTGGCCATAAAACCCCCGACGCTCACATTTTCCCTCTGTCTTCAGGATAAATCTGGCAAGTCAAACTTACAGGTGCTGGAGAGACAGCATGGTCCAATGAATTGAGCACTGGGCTAGGACTCAGGACACCTGGGCTCCATTTCCAGTTCTGCTACCGACCTGCGGACTAACATTAGCTGCTACCGAACCAGTCGGAGTCAGATTACAGTGCTGTAAAATATCTGGTCGAGTACCTAAAGTCAGAAACAAATGCGCATGCATATGTTCATTCCATTTCCTTGTTCTCTGACAGAACAGGAGTAACTGAAGGATCGTGTTGTAATTAATTGACCCTCCTGGTGGCCACCACTCCTGGTCCTCTAGTTGATATTGAGGCCAGTCAACTGTACAGAATCGTTTTAATTGGCTCTTCGTCATCGGATCCGCTCCAAATACCTTCCAGTTTGCTAGAATGCATTCTAGGGGCGTACACCGTGCCCTAATCCCCGAGCTCTGTCCCTGTCCCATACCTACAGGGTAACTCTGGGCGTCCCCAGTTTCCAACAGAGCATACAATCCGGATTTCAAAAGGTTCCTACCTTATCCAAGGGACCGGTTCCTCACCGTCGCCCGCAGCTGCTCCTCCCCTATGTCCAAGGGACCGGTTCCTCACCGTCGCCCACAGCTGCTTCTCCACTATATGAGTGCGTTGCACCTTTGTGCCCTCTGGGGTCGATCAAATCGCGTCTCCTCCGAGGCCCCCGATGAACTCACCGGTGCACGCTGGGCGTCGGTTCTCGCCGCAATCCTCGACCTCCAGGAGGGGTCCAGGCAAGGCTAAATAGCAGCCTCGTCGCCCACCCAGGGACGCCAAAAGCTGTTGCCGGCACCCAGTGCCGAGAGGCAAAACAACAGCAGGGGTTCGCTACCCGGTGTGCGTCACCCAATAATCACAACACGGTGGAGAAACAGAAAAGTTTATTAGCAGCTGCAAACAAGGTACAGGGAGATTAGAATCTCAAATCCTGCACACAGAGCAGGAAGTTACACAGGCTTTTATACATCCTTTCTTCAGCATACTTATCCAATAGCAAGCTGCTCTAAGTATCCATATAGCCAGCCAATCCAGTTACCAGCTAGTTCCCTTGTTTTTTGTATCATTTATTAAACTATACATAAAGCTGATTTATTCAGCATTGTTTTTCCATATCTGCCCTGTTTGGCCTTGTTTAGCTTCAGGCAGTCTGACTCTGCAACATATTGTTGCAGATCCTCAGCATAACTGCTGTGTGTGCCTCCAGGCAGGGGGGCCAAGGACACTTGGGCCTAGTACGCATAGCTGCTGCGAGTGCCTCCAGGCGGGGGGGGGGGGGAGGACACTTGGGCCTAGTGCGAGGGGGCTTCATCGACACTCGTGGTCTTCCATCCCCTCGAGTTACCTAGTGGCCATGCCCCAGTGTCCCCAACAACTGCAGATGCTGATCTGGAGAATTTCTTATCTAGAACCCAGAGGGAAGGTAGGCAGGGATCATGAGACCCCTTCAGACCTTCTGAAGTGGGTGTACTTTAGAAAGGAGAGGGAGAAAGAAAGGTAGGGAGAATATGAGCTTTTTGATGGGGCTGAGGGAGGAGATGGGGCAGGGGAAAGATTTGTCTTAAGACATATCTATATGTCCTCGTTGACCTAAGAGTCCACTTGGACCATCAACAGAGGTCTTGAATGCTGGCTCAAACTACCCACTCTACTGCCCTCAAGGCACTATGTGTTACTGCCTTGTCTAACTGAAATCCTGCTGTAGTCCGATATTACAGTAGTTATACCGGGGGTAAATGTAGCTGTTGCTAGAGCGAATCAAAATGGATCTCACCCTACACCAGGAACAGTGAATATTGAGGGAGCTGGGCGAGAGGATTTTGTGGTTTAGAATGAGTGGACGTGCAGTGCCACCAGTTACTTCTGAAATTCTGGATACAAGCTTGGAGTTTGCCCATGTGAACACAGATATTACAATATTGCTCAACAGAGGCCCCTTTCCAAGTTCATCAGCTATTCCCAGCATGCCACGTTTATACATCAAGTTGTCACTAAATCCTGCTTATCTTTGTAAGGGTCACCTAGAGAAATTGTATCCACAGAACATGCCAGCTTGTAAGTACCCTGGTCTAAACAGCGACAATGGGAAATGTCAGCAGCTTTGGGATATTCGAGATGTACTGATTTAACAACACTTCTAAGGTATTAAATCATAAAATGTACAGAAATTTTAGTGATTGCTAAGTCTGAGGCTTACAGACATAATTGCTCTCTCATAAAGAGCTTGTTCTTCCTTTTGAGCTGAAATGTGTTTTGGTTTTAAAAGATTATGGTTCTGGAAATCCATAACAATAGATCTGTAGACCAAAAAATTCCTTCCATTAGAATACACAGTAAATCAAGCGCTGTTCTTTATTGAAATAAAAATTCTCTTTAATCCATTCAAGTAAAAAGAGGATTTTAATACCACGTTTATTCCTTTTGATTACCTGAATTCTGGCCTAACACTACATCATCCTTTAATAGGGTCAGATGACCTGCATTTATATTACCTAGGGCAGTGATCCTGTCAGATTTTATAAGCAAAGTCAGGTCAGTCTTGTTTCCATAGTTGGATGGGAACCTGTGGAACTCCTTGCCAGAGGATGTTGTGAAGGCCAAGACTATAACAAGGTTAAAAAAAGAACTAAATAAATACATGGAGGATAGGTCCATCAATGGCTATTAGCCAGGATGGGTATTCATGGTGTCTCTAGCCTCTGTTTGCCAGAAGCTGGGAATGGGTGACAAGGAATGGATGACTTGATGATTACCTGTTCTGTTCATTCCCTCTGGGGCACCTGGCATTGGCCACTGTCGGAAGACAGGATACTGGGCTAGATGGCCCTTTCGTCTGACCCAGTATGGTCGTTTTTATGGGAGACCTCCAAGAAATACTTGGGTGCTGCAAAAAGTAGCAATGCTGATGACTGTAGGTGCATTTATTCTCTCTGATCAATCCTGAATCCATGCCCCAGCCTTGTGTTAGCACTTTCAGCAGCAAGGTCCCCTCTCTCTTTTGGATTCGATTTAACCAAAGTCCTGACCACTTGGGATCATTAAAGATCTTGTGGTATCTTTTGCAAAAATAGGGGTATTATCTGGTGTGACAGGGTTAGGCCAGCTGGCTAAAAGAGCATGGTCGAAGGTAGATACATTAGTTCCAGGTTAAGCAGTCCCTTTTCCCTGCGTAAGATAACAGGGACTATTTCAGAACACTCAGTAACTTTCTAGAACTAATTAAGGCAGGCAGGCTAATTAGGAACCTGTATCCAATTGGGAAGCTGCTAGAATTAATTAAGGCTAATCAAGACACCTGGTTTAAAAAGGCTGTCACTCCAGTTAGTGAGGTGTGTGCATAAGGAGCTGGGAGTGAGAGGATGTGCTGCTGGAGGACTGAGGAGTACAAGCGTTAACAGACATCAGGAGGAAGGTCCTATAGTGAGGACAAAGAAGGTGTTGGGAGGAGGCCATGGGGAAGTAGCCCAGGGAGTTGTAGCTGTTGCACAGCTGTTCCAGGAGGCACTCTAGACAGCTGCAGTCCACAGGGTCCTAGGCTGGAACCTGGGGTAGAGGTGGGTCCAGGTTCCCCCCAAACCTCCCAACACAGGAGGTTCCCCCACAGGGGAAGGTCTCTGAGCTGTTCCCTGACCCACATGATGGATCAGCAGAAACTGCGGGGATTGTTCTTACTCTTTTTTCCCATGTTGGCCAGTGATGAGGTTATCTGAGTGAACGGCAGATTTGAGCCATGTAAGTGGCCAAAATGAGGGCTACTGTGAATCTCTGAGGTGAGCAAAATCCGCCAATAAGTGCAGGACCCACCAAGGTAGAGGAGGAACTTTATCACACTGGTCAAATTTCAACTCTGGTAATTACTGCCACACTGTCTGGAGTGGCTCACAACCATCAGTGCCTATCTCAGGGCAGACTGTCAAAAGCAGGGCAGACACCCTATACTGATAGTATGATCTATAATTAGATTTCATCAAGCCAGTAACAAATGTGAATTCCTAAAGTACTGCAATAGTCTTATACTGGTGTCACAGACCGTCCCCTTTGCATGACAGTGTATCTTGCCACCCAGGCAAGATAGACTATGTTATAAATGATCACTTACCACCAAAAATCACAAATATTCCAGGTTACTCCCAGTCTCAGGAGACCAGTCACTCAACTCAGGCTGAACTGCGTCGTCGATCGCACACCAAAGAAAATGCAGTGCTATAGTAAACTAAGTAAAGGTTTATTAGTGAAGAAAAAGAAATGAGTTATTGAGAAGCGGTAAAATATAGGTATAAATGAGTCACAATCTAGAATTCCAAATGGTAGCAGAGTTGTAGGAATCTGCCAGTTTCCCAAAAGTTTCTCAGGGCTACCCAGAATAACTCTGGGGATCTCTGTCTTTTTGTTCAGTTATTCCACCATCTTAGAATCCAAACAGTGCAGAGATTAATGATTTTTCTTTCTACCCATATTTATATTCATTCTCTTAGAACAATCTGACTGGGTCACCACTCACATGGGCTCGCTCTTTGATTGGTGGAGAGAGGAATGCATTTAGAGTCTTTGATCTCTGATCATCACACACAGTGACCACGTGCCTTCAAATTTGCAAGAATTAGCACTTTCCTGCTAAAGTTCTTCATTTGCATTACACGAGGCTTCTTTAAAAAGTTAAGTTAAATCCTATTGAGGAAAATAGAAGGAGCATAAACTCTGGCAAGTGAAGTGTAAAAGTATACTTAGGAAGGCCAAAAAAGAATCTGAAGAACAGCTAGCCAAAGACTCAAAAAGTAACAGCAAAAAAAAAATGTGTAAGTACATCAGAAGCAGGAAGCCTGCTAAACAACCAGTGGGGTCACTGGACAATTGAGATGCTAAAGGAGCATAACAGGAATAAAAAGCCATTGCGGAGAAACTAAATGAATTCTTTGCAGCGGTCTTCTTGGCTGAGGATGTGAGGGAGATTCCCAAACCTGAGAGAGTCTTTTTAGGTGACAAATCTGAGGAACTGTCCCAGATTGAAGTGTCATTAGAGGAGGTTTGGGAGCAAATTGATAAATTAAACAGTAATAAGCCACCAGGATCAGATGGTACTTTCACCCAAGAGTTCTGAAGGAACTCAAATGTGAAATTGCAGAACTATAAACTGTGGCATGTAACCTATCATTTAAATCAGTTTCTGTACCAGATGAGTGGAGGATAGCTAATGTGATGCCAATTTTAAAAAAAAAAGGCTCCAGAGGCAATTACAGGCCAGTTAGCCTAACTTCAATACCAGGCAACTTGGTTGAAACTATAGTAAAGAACAGAATTATCAGACACATAGATGAACAGCATTTGTTGGGGAAGAGTACACATGGTTTTTGTAAAGGTAAATCATGCCTCACCAATCTACTAGAATTCTCTGATGGGGTGAACAAGCATGCGGACGCGGTGATCCAGTGGATATAGTGCACTTAGATTTTCAGAAAGTCTTTGACAAGGTCCCTCACCAAAGGCTCTTAAACAAAGTAAGCAGTCATGGGGTAAGAGGGAAGGTCCTCTCATCGATTGGTAACTGGTTAAAAAATAGGAAACAAAGGGTAGGAATAAATGGTCATTTTTCAGAATGGAGGTTAATAGTGGTGCCTCCTAGGAGTCTGTACTGGGACCAGTCCTGTTCAACATATTCATAAATGATCTGGAAAAAGGGATAAACAGTGAGGTGGCAAAATTTGCAGATGATACAAAACTATTCAAGATAGTGAAGTTCAAAGTATTTCTTCTCTCAACGCACAGTCAATGTGTGGAACTCTTTGCCAGAGGATGTTGTGAAGGCCAAGATTATAACAGGGTTCAAAAAAGAACTAGATAAGTTCATGAGGAAGGTCCATCAATGGCTATTAGACAGGATGGGCAGGGATGCAAAACCATGCTCTGAAGCGTCCCTAGCCTCTGTTTGCCAGAAGCTGGGAATGGGCGACAGGGAATGGATCACTTGATGATTCCCTATTCTGTTCATTCCCTCTGAAGCACCTGGCCACTGTTGGAAGACAGGATACTGGGCTAGATGGACCATTGGTCTGACCTAATATGGCCGTTCTTATGTTCAATGTGGTGACATCATGAAACAGATAGAATTTAATATAAAAATCAGTAACACAGGAGCTGCTGGGCTGACTGTGTGATTTGTTTGCATTCAATAAAAACCTCTATTTTAAAAAAGAAATTAAATGAAGCTGCTGCCAATTTTCTGGCCTGCCACAATGGCATTACACAGAATCGCAGGGGCCTTTGGCACAGAAGTTAAGTACAGACAACTGGAGGATATGCAAGGTCTTTAACATTTAGAACAAACCCATCCCAACAAATGACCAAATAAGCAGCCATCTGGGCCATCAACTACAGACTAACTCACCCACTCTAAAAACTAACCGCTCCCCCCCCCTCAGTATTGCTCAGTCATCCTCCCCAGTGCTTGATAAATGAATCACAAAGTTGGGCTTTTTGGACCAGGAAGAGTAAGTTCCAGAGTAAATGGCCCTCACAAACAGTCTTGTCCTTGCCTTGTAAACCAAGGGGTTCCCCCTTCAGCACCTCTGCTCACCACAGCTGCAGTAATATCATAGGTGGGGAGAAGCAAGTTCTTGGGTTAGCTAGGTCTCAGACCACTAACTGCTTCATAGGTCAATGCCCACACCTTAAACTCTATCCTGAATTTAATCAACAGCCAGTGCGGGTTACAGCACACTAGTATGGTATATGCCCATCTAGATATTTCGGCTTCACAAGCGAGCACCAGTGTTGTGCACTAGAAAGTTTGCTCACAGAGCTATATGAGCAAATCCTCCTTGTGGAGACACAGCTTAACTTTTACTGGCAAAAAAAAGTTCTTTTGTCAGCCTGGGGTATACCGGTTCTCCTAACAAAATAAGCTGTACCAGTAAAAGCACTTTTTAATGATATAAGCTGTTTGTCAGTAGGGCTTTTGCTGGCATAGTTCTGTCAGTTAGGGGTGTGGTTTCTTTTCCACACTCTTCATGGATATAGCTATGTTGGCAAAATGTTCAAGTGTAGACCAGGCCTAAGTTACTGACTGGTTCTAAGGGGTAGCCTCAAGTAAAGCATGTTGCAGCAATCCAGTCTCTAATGACAAGGGTATGGACAATAGTAGAGAGGGCTGCATCTCAAAGAAAGAGCCTCACCTTGCCCAAACACTGCTAGAAAAAGCAGTTCTGGCCACTGGTGCTCTCTGAGCCTCCAAAAGCAGCTGAGGAGCTAACCAGGCCCCAAACTGAGGGCTTGTCTACATTACCCGCTGGATCGAAGGGCAGCGATCAATCCAGCAGGGGTCGATTTATCGCGTCTAGTCTAGACACAATAAATCGACTGCCGAACACTCTCCTGTCGACTCCGGTACTCCACCAGGGCTAGAGGCGCAGGCAAAGTCAATAGGAGAGTGTCCACCATCAACTTACTGCAGTGAAGACACCGCGGTAAGTAGATCTAAGTACGTCGACTTCAGCTACGTTATTCACGTAGCTGAAGTTGCGTAACTTAGATCGATTTCTCTCCCCCCTCCCCCCCCCCCGGCGTGTAGACCAGGCCTGAGACACATGACAGACAAATGGCACAAATTCAATCCTCAGTGCTGTCTGGCATGCATCACTTTGAGCTGATCGGACTCGTGTCTAGAGGCAGGCATGTGTGATGTCATCTGGCCAGCACTTCTAGTTTACTGGGCTTATGTCAAACAAAGCCATGGCCTTCGTGAGCTCATTGGCTCAGTGGCTCCTAGCATGAAATGCTAGGACTGACTGATTCAGGACATCTACCTTCATGTACTGATGAGAGAGAGAGAGAAAACATTTTGTGACATTGTTACTGACCTCTCCGGCTTGCTGAGCTTATTTCCAGGCATGGGCCTCTGAGCTCACATCAGTTAGGGCCTCTAGCTTACTGGTCTGAAACCAAAGGCACCAGTCTTTGAAGTTACTTGTCCAGGGTGTAGAACACACTTACCCTCCTCCAGGGCTGACCTCCAGTTTGAGGTCCAGGCTCTGTATGTGCATTCGTGCTACAGGGACTTGGCCACTGAAGGCTGGTGTTAGCAGAAGTTAGGGAGGGCTGATAAGAACTTGTATGCTCCTGGTTCGTAGGTATGTACAGTAACTCCTCACTTACCATCGTCCCAGTTAACATTGTTTCATTGCTTCCTCGCTGATCTGTTAGAGAACATGCTCATTTAAAGTTGCAAAATGTTCCCTTCTAATGTTGTTTGGCAGCCGTCTGCTTTGTCCACCGTTTGCAGGAAGAGCAGCCTGTTGGAGCTAGCTGGTGGGGGATTGGAACCAGGGTGGGCCAGCAGCCCCCTATCAGCTCCCCTAAGTTCCCTGTGCAGCAGCCACCCAGCAGACTATCCGTTGCTGGGCAGTTCAGGTGTCTCTCCCCCCACTGCCATGTGCTGCTCTTGCCCTCTGCCTTGGAGCTGCTCCCAGGAGCCTCCTGCTTGCTGTGCAGGGGGTGGAGGGGAAGAGGGGGGCTGATGTCAGGGTGTCCCCCTCCCCCCGCTCCCTGTACCCCATCTCCACAGAGCAGGGGGATGGACAGACATGACAGGGCGCAGGACTGAGAGAGTTTTCTGGCAGCAGCTGTTGTTTCAACTTACTGATCTACTTTAAAAGGCAGTGTACTTAGAGTGCCGTCAGCACACTTAAAGGGGCAATGCGCGACACTCTCTCTCTCTCTCTCTCTCTCTTTGTGTCTGACACACACAGGCACCCCCCAGTACTTTGGAAAGTGGAGGGAGTGGTGCGCTCCAGTAGGATAGTGTGGGTTCGTCATCACGTTCAGTTTCCACAGGGAATGTTTGCAGCCACTGCTATGTATCTATTGTGTCTCCTCCCTCCATTCATGCTGCCTTGGTAAGAGCCTTTCCAGAAGAAGGGCAAGGGCTACAAACGTCATCAGAGCCAGCAGCCCTCTACCTCGGCACAGGCCGGCTCTTCCCGCTCCCAGCAGGGGTTGAAGCAGGCATTTTGAGGGTCCACCCAAGGGTGACATTCCAGCCACTGTCCTGGATCCTGCCCTCCTCCGGTTCTCTAACCGCCTTTCTTTATTCCTCCCAGCCTGGGCATCTATAACTTTGCTGACATCAGATGCCTCAGACCTCGGCTGGGGAGCACACCTTGGCACGATGCGGACGCAAGGTATGCATATAAATGTCAGAACTCAGGGCGGTTTGCCTAGCCTGCACGGTTTTCCTCCCACAGTTATCCAACCGAGTGGTTTGAGTGCTGAGGGACAACATGGCCTCGATGTTTTACATCAACCTGTTCTGTAACTGCTGTTCTTCGAGATTTGTTGCTCATGTCCATTCCAGCAAAAAGGAACTGACGGTGGAGGGAGCCAGTGGCGCCCCTTATATCACGCCATGCGGGCGCCACACTAGAGGGCGCCAGAGCCAGTCCCCTACGGATACCACTGAGGGAAAAACTTCCAGCACCGGTACATGTGGCGAGCACACACTCCTAGCATGGAATGGACATGAGCAACACATCCCGAAGAACACCAGTTAGGAAACAGATAACTGTCTTTCTTTTGTCTTTCATCATCTGCTAAGATGTAGGCTTTTTGGGACAGGAACTGTTTTTTTTTTTAAATTATTTTAATTACATGAGGGTACAGCACCTACCACAATTAAGGGCTAATGCCTAATTGGAACTTCTAAGTGCAACTAAACTAAATAATAATAAACCAACTGGCCAAAAAAACCCAACACTTTTCTGAGGAAAATTTGAAAAAGCTCAAGAAAAGCAAATAGTTTCCATCAAAAATATTGTTTCGTGAAAACCCAATTTTCTGTCCAAAAAAGTTTTTTGATGGAAATTTTTCTACTAGCCCAACATGTGCAGGTGTACAAGCCAACCAGTACAATGTTTGGAGGAAGGAAAAGGAGTCATCTTGCAGCAGCTGCAGCCCTTTGACCGCTCTGTGCAAGGTAGAATGGGGCTGGGTGGAAAAAACAAACCTGCAAATGTGACAGTACGGCTCAGCAAGAGAAGCCCAGCTGATCTGAAGCCTCCGCTTTACCCAGTGTTCCCTGCAGCTATCTGTCCTCCAAACTCTCAGCATCGGGCAGGACAAGAAACCAGAACCCCCCGTCATGCTCCTGTATTAGATACAGACAGACTACAGAGCTTACTTCTGAGCAAGATACACATCAGATTTGTACATCAAAAGATCCTTTCATGCACTGCCAAGGATGGATGAGGGTAGCTTAAATAAGTTATTTTACACCTAGTGCCATCTAGTGGATGAACAGTATAATACAGGTTTCAGAGTAACAGCCGTGTTAGTCTGTATTCGCAAAAAGAAAAGGATGCATCCGATGAAGTGAGCTGTAGCTCACGAAAGCTTATGCTCAAATAAATTGGTTAGTCTCTAAGGTGCCACAAGTACTCCTTTTCTTTTTGCGAGTATAATACAGGTTAACATTTTATTACACCCATCAAGTCACAAAAATTGGAACTAGCAGGAGGAGAGGAGAGCCAACCTGGACAGAGGAGAGGAGGAGCTCTCAGATGCCACTATCCAGAGGGAAAAGCTAGACTGCCTAGCTCACCCATTGGGTCTCCCAAGCACCGGAAGTCCAGGGTTTGAGTAACACAGGGCCTGCTCTGCTCCAGAAAGCAATCTTCCTGGCTTTTCAGGGAACATTGTACGGTGAGTTACTGTCCATGCTACACTTCATGTTGGGAAAGGGCTGTGGGGTGAGGCTAAGACCTGGTGGGTGGGTGTGAGCGTACATATCTGGGGTGAGGCTCACATGGAGCTGGCGAGGTAGGTCAGCACCACCCCCTACTCAAACAATGGT